TGGGAGGACTAGATGAGGTCTCGGTGGGCATCAAACAGTAGGTGTTCAATAAACAGGAGCTGTTGTGGCTCATGTTTTGTACGAATGTGTATGCGTGGGGGTTGTCTAGGACAGAAATCCTTGCCCTTGGGTGTTGCCTGTCCATCCTTATTCCAATGGGGCTGAACAAGACCTGTCAAAGGCCTGGAGGCTTTGCATGGGCCTGGGAGTTTGAGAAAAATGACCCGGATTACCCATTATCCTCCAAGCTCCTGTTCTATACCTGGTCCTGGGATAGGGTTGGAGATCAGGAAAAAATAGAATCCAGCTACCTGGCTGGAAAAGGCGCGTCGCTTTGACACCAGGAAGATAAGAAGTCTTGTGGGAAGGGAGCGCTCATTCCCACTCCAGATGTGCTGGGTGCTGTGGGGCTACATTTCCCGGGCTCTCCAGCAACTAGATGTGACCGCGGACTGCGTGACCGCGGACTGCGGCGATGTGTGCCGCTCTGAGCCTGGCTTCCCCCCTCCCCGCAACCTCACACTCTTAATTCTCTCTTCCCCACCCGACTGGCTGGAACGAGGCTGGAATGAGGGTGAAGGACACCTGGGCAACCTGGAGACCTGCATGTTGAAGACTCCGCTGGACTCCGAAAGCACCAAGAGGCAAGTTGCTTGTAACACTTTGTGCTACAGTAGCCAGGGTGTCCCTAACCAGTGCAGATGCCTTGAAAGCCGGATTTGTGTCAGCATGTATCTTTCCGCCTCCTCAACTGCAACAGTTCCACTAAGTTGCCAATGTCCCCACCCCATTCTTTGTTTATCTGGAGATAGCAGTCCTGACCAGGAGTCTTTCAGATCAAGATCCCTCAGTTCTCTATTGTCATTCATCTGTGGTTGGCTGGAATCTGATCTTGAGTTTTCCCGGAAGGTTATGAGAGTGAGAATTCCCCCACCCACGTTTGAGCATGTATCTCTGGTGTCTTAACACATGAGGGACAAGATGGATAGGGAATTTGGGGGATGCTGTCTCTCTCCACCCCTCCTCCACCCTTCCTCTGTAGACCCTCACCCACCATGGGCTGCTGTGGCGAAGCCCAAGACCAGTACAGATCGCCAAGGGGCCCAGCCGAGAGCAAGTGATGCACTCTATCTGCGTAATCCAGGGGAGTTTAATAGCAGAATTAGCTACAACAGTGTGTGCAGGTGTAGCTGTGACCACAGCATCGACTCTGGCAATACCTACCTATTGCTAACACTTGAGTGCGTGCCACCTTGTCTCCCCCTCCAGCCCCCCGCCTCCTGCAGGTTCTCCATCACCTCCGAGTGCCCCGGGGGGACCGAGCTCCAGGTGCCCTGTGTGGACCTGCCCCATTGCCCTCCTCTGTCTCGTTTCTGCAGTCCCCTTCACGTGTGCTCAAATCGCTTATCTTGGGCTTTGCTTGGAGGGAAACCCCAGCCCCACCCCGGAGAGTCCAGTTTAGGGAAGGCAACAAGGGGTGGTGCAGTGCTTGGGGGCTAACAACCCAAGGCGCCACTGTCCTTCAGGAACGAGGCAGCGGGGAACCTGGAGAGGGAGGGACAGTGGGGTGAGGACAGCCTGCCAGGGCCTTGACCTTGGTCAAGGTAAGCCAGCCCACTGCAGGGGAGGGCTCAGGGAGGAACAAACAGCTGGGGCTCTCCCTTCTGCCGCCTACTGACCAAACCAATGAGACGTGGAGGGCAAGAGAGTGTGCTGGTGCCAGGCACTGAGAGTGGTTTTGGGCAGAGCTGGTGTGAGAGAGGGAAGGTGCCCGTGGCAGGGCAAACTGAAGCCTGGCAGCACACAGGGCAGCTGTGTCCTGTGTCTGTGGCCAGGTTAAGGCATCACGCTGGAGGGCTGGGCAGGTAAGCAGCCAGTATTCCTGTTACCTAGTGTTGTACAACAATCCACCTATGCACAAACGCAGTGGCTTGAAATAGCACCCTTCTATTAGCTATCACAATTTGGAGTGGGCTCAACTGCTAACTCTTCTGTTCCCCTTGGCTGTGACTGAAGGCGGGCTTCCGGCCAGCAGCTGGTCTGGAGAGCCCAGTGTGGCTTTGCTAACATGGTTTGTGTCCTCGTGGGGATGGCTGAACGACTGGCTCGGCTGCTGTTGAACTTGGTGGCTGCCTGTGAGCTCTAAGGATGCTCTCCAGCAGCTCGGCGTCCCTGGAAGGTTCAGGAGGCCCCGAAGGAAGCACGCTCCAGCTCAGATGTCCAGGAATGCTGCTCCCAGCAGGTGCTATCAGCCAAACAAATGCAAGGGGAGGAAAATTAGACCCCACCCTGCATGGGAAAAACAGCAAAGAACTGTGGTTCTCAATGGACCGGCGTTGACTTGTAATGACGTGTGTTTTCTGGAAATGCCTGCAAGTGCCGGGACTGGAGAGGGAGTAAATGTCACAATAGAGGCTGGACATGGTCACCCATGGCCAGTGAGGGTTTTAGAGTCAGATCCAAATGCAAATTCCAGCGTTGCCACTGACAGCCCCTGAGCACGGCGTCTCCCTCCGTCAGAGGGAGGAGCAGTGTCCCCAGGCAGGAGGGCTGGCAAGACTCAAGAGGAGGCTGTGCAGAGCACCAGGGGCACAGGCAGCAGCGGTGACCATGACCCTGAGCGATGAGACGGCCAGCAGAGGATCGCGCAGAAGCACTCTGGCCTTCTGACCGACATCACCAGGAGCCTTTTTGAGCCACTCTGTCCCTCAGGCCCCATCTCCAGCCTGGCTGACTTTAGCTCCTCCTGTCACCACCACTGTCCTCCTGGATCAGTTGCTTCTCCCGGGTCTCCCACCCTGCCTTGGGCCCCTGTCTTCCCATACAGCCGGAGCTCAGCTCCTCAAATAGCCACACGCACATCAGCTGCCAGGGCACCCCATGAAGGCGCAGGTTCTGGGACGGCTCAGTAGCTCTGGGACAGGGTCCAAGTCTGTCCTAACCACTCCTGGTGGTTCCTGGAGCACACTCTCAGCAGCTGGAGACCCCACTTTTTTCCAAATCAAAGTCTGACCCTGTCTTGCCTCTACTTAAAACCCCCCACCGAAGCCAGCTCTGTGGCTAACCTGCAGTCTGCAACACCGGCATCCCATATGGGTGATGGTTCAAGTCCCTGCTGCTCCACTTTCCATCCACCCTGCTAATGTACCCAGGAAAGCAGCAGAGGATGGCCCAAGCCTTGGGCCCACATGGGAGACCCAGAAGAAGCTCCTGGCTTTTGCAGCCAGGTCATTGCAGCCAGTTGAGAAGTGAACCAGCAGATGAAAGAAAGCTCTCCCTCCCTCTCCCCCTCCCCCCTCTCTAACTCTGCCTCTCAAATAAATCAATCAGTTAAAACAAAACAAAACAAATCCTCCACAGATTCCCCAGAGCTTCTAGGTCAAAGACCAAACCTCAGCACATCCCCTGGCTCATCCCTCTTTCTTATTGATGAGTTTGTTCACATACTTGTAATGGAATGAACAGAGACATATCACAGCCCAGTACTGGAACCTTTTCCATCACCTGAATGCACCTGTTGGCTCCTCCCCCTCCATGCCCATTCTTGTCCCATCTGTGCCCATCTTCTTCCCCCGGTCTCAATGCCTGCTGCTAGGGCACGTGTCTAAGACATTTTACCAGGAGCCCGTGGCACACGTGCTTTCCTGCACTGTAGTTCTCACTTGGTGTTGCTCCTGAAGTGGACCTGCTCTGGCCTGAAGCTCAAGTTCAGTTCCTTTCACTGCTGAGTAATATTCCGCTGTGTGATCATCCCTTGTTAGGGGAAATGTAAGAGAATCTTGTCTTGTGCAAGAACAAATTCAGACATGAGATAGCAGTGGTGAGCAAGGGGGCAAGGTTTAAGAGGATCAGGCATCCATCAGAATGGATGGACCTCTCTCCAGACGGAACTGAAACTGTGCCTAGCCATTGAGAGTGGGGTGAGCAAGGTTACATGGTTTAACGGTGAGAAAACTCCCGACAGGCCAGGCGGGCATCTCTGCAAAGAACGGAGAGAGCTGAGCCGAGAGAAATCATCAACCAGGCAGGCATCTCAGGAAAGATTGGGGCTTAGAAGGGAGGAGGGGGTCCAGTTCTTCCCATAGTTCTCTTGCTCCTTCTCCAAGGCAAAGGGTTTGCTGGGGTGAAATAGGAGAGATTCCTCCCAAGGTTTTATTGCCCATTGCTATCAGGCTGGGTAGCCCACCTGGCAGAGAGGATCCTCCTAGGGTGCCTGCCTTGAGGGGAGTCTGGGACCACCTGTGAAGTTACCAGGGTACGGGTAGGACTTTGTAGTGCAGAATCCTGGGCTGCTTCCACGGTGAGCTTGAGCTTCCCAGGCTGCTGGAGGCGGCTTCATTCTTCCCTCGCAGGTGCGTTGTTGTCCGAGGCTTCTCTCTCACACGCAGGCTAATTTCTAACTTCTACCTGACACTCTGCCTGCAGGCTCTGGGTAGATGGCGCGCGCCTTGCGTATGCGTGCGTGTGTGTGTTGCCAGTGTTCTTGTTACTAGGGCCAGCGCTGTTGTGCGCACTGTACAGGGCTCTGCCTGCACCGGGGCAGGTGTCTCCAGGGTCCATGCGTAAGAGGGGGTTTCGGTGTCTCCTTTCACTCCCATTCATTCAGAATGTTCCTCCTCCCGGGCTGCCGCCCTCTGAAAGCTCCCCGATCACACTTTGTGCTGTGGATTCTGCTACAGCGCCCGTCGGGCCCAGCTAGCGCACAAGTCTCCGAGGCTCCCCGCGCGGGCTGGGGCCTGGCACACCGTGGGCGCCCAGAGGGCGGCGGGAGCGGGAAGGTGCCTGGAGGCGCCGGGAGAGAGGCCGAGCCCGGAGAGGCGGCGGGCGCCCCGAGCCCACCGGTGGCTCCGCCCGGCGTCCCAGGGCGCGAGCTTTCGAGGGGCCCCAGCCCGCGCGGTCCCGGGGTCGGCGATTCCAGGAAATGCTCTGCCCGGGCCGAGTCGGCGGGGCGGGGGCTCGGCCGGGGGCGGGGCTCGGCCGGGGGCGGGGCTGGAGGCGGGCCCGGCCCGGTTAAGAGGAGCGTGGCGGGCCGCGGCCGCCGAGGGCCCCGGAGCGAGCGGACCGGCCACCGACCCAGCGAGATCCAGCGGCCTCGGGTGGACGGAGCAGCGCCGGGGCGCACGCTTGGCACCATGACCCAGATGCCCGCCTTCGACAAGCCCAAAGTGAGCGCGGCCGGGGGCTTCGGGAGGGGCCAGCCCTGCGGGTCCGCACCCCAGAGGCGGAGCGGGGCTTCTGCAGCCGCTGTCTGGGCTCGGCCCAAGCCTTGGCCGGCCTCCGGGCCGCTGAGCGAGGGACAGTGAGGGTCCAGAAGTCTCAGGCCGGCTCAGGGGTGCTGCTCTGTCCCTGACCCGGCTCCTCCGAGTGTCGGCTTCGCCATCTGTCAGTTGGGTATCCTGGCACCGCGGTAGCAAGCAGCTGTGGAAGCCCGCGCAGGGGACTTGGAAGGGGTTCCCACGGCTAAGCTAGCGGGCACCTGGTGTTGTGGCGGGCCGGTGAGGAGCTCTCCGGGAATGGAGCAATTTTAGATTCGTTAGGCTGCTGGGAGCGCCCGGGAGTCCTGGTTTGTGGATGCACCGGCGGGAAGAGCCATGAGCCATGCCAAACAGGGAGGGAGGGGAGCCGGCACGCCTCTCGCCATGCTGGGCAGAAAGGCTGCCTGGGCCCCTGTAGGGTTCACTCAGGGTCCAGCTCCCGCCACTGGCCTCATGGGGGAGCCCCCTTGAGGCTGCTCGGTGTGTTGGGCTTGGGGGGCGCGGATCTGGGCTCATGGGTCCTGCTTGGGAGCCAGACTTTCTCCAGGGAGGGAAGGGCCAGGTGTTCCGGGCAGAGTGAATGGCCAAAAGGGTGAGATGGCAGTGGGAAGAGGCGTCAGCTGCCCTCGGCCTCAACGTACCCTCTGGGAAACAGGTGTGAGATGATGGTGTGAACCCGGCTGCCTGGCTCTGCGGCCAGCCCTCCTGCCCCTGGCCAGCCCTCTTGCCCCCACCCACGCCCTGCCTCCTCTCGTCTGCAGCCCGGGGCGTACTCCCTGCTTAATGCTCATTAGCACCTCTTTGCTTTGAAGGCTTTTTATTTTTCTTCTTTTTTGATGTTTTGGCTTCCCTGTGCCCAAACAGACTGTGGAGCCTCTCCCTGGTGCGAGCCGCAGGCAGTAGGAGAAGCCCCTGGACTGGGGGTGAAATGGGGATAGGGAGATAAACACTAGGTTTCCCATCTGCAGCACTTGCAGTTCTGGGCACTAATGTTTTTATCTGCCCTGTTTTGGCCTCACCCAATCCTCTCATCTGATTCATGCTGCTAGGTCATTTCCTCCCTCTGGGCCTCAGCTTCCATACCTGGGGAATGGGTACCACCTGTTTGTGGGATGCTTGGGCGAAGAGGTGGGGAGTTGCCTGTGGCGAGCGGGGAGGCAGTGTGAACCCCAGGGCCGGCTTCCTGCCTTCCTGTGGGTGGGGCAGAGAACCACTCTTAGGGGCTGGAGAAGCTTCTGGTGTCAGCCGCCCTGTGCCAGGCACTGACCTGAACGCGTCAACGGCGTTAGTTCATTTGACCCTGCAGTGACCCCGTGAGGAAGCTGTCATCTCCCATTTTATAGATGAAGAAACAGGCACAGAGAGGTTAACTAGGCTCAAGATGACACAAGCGGGAGGTGGCCAAGTTGGGGTTTGAGCCCGGGGCAGGCTGGCTTCAGTCCCGTGCCCCTCACCATCTTTCCTGAGCCACTTCTGCAGCTGCCTTGGGGTGGAGGCAGCAGTGGCCAGGCGCAGGCATCCCCAGGACGGGAGCCTCCGGTGACTTCCCCAGGCACCGGCCTGCCACAAGAAGTCAGAGGAGGGAGGAGTGCTTCGGATTCAAATGTCCGCTCAGATCCTCTGCCCCCTGATGTCTAGACTGATGTAGGAGGCCTGGGGGCAGGGTGGTGGGAGATACTGAGAAGCTAGCACTGACACACACACACACACACACACACACACACACCCCTCCCCCTCCCCAGCAAGGCCCTGGGCTAGCGCCTCCTGGACTTGATTGAGTCATTCCAACAATGCTTCCAGAGCACCTACTAGGCACTGGAGGAGGCAGGAAGAAGGGCAGAGGGTAGCCCTTCTATGTCTATGTCCCTGCTGGCCGAGCTGCACACTCCTGCCTTGGAGGGAATGCTGCCCCCGTGCCTGTCATGGGAATACCAATGGCCGTCCTTTGAGTGGCTCTGAGTGCTGGGTGCCCCCGTGATAGAACTCGCAAAATCTTCTGTGTGGCTTGATGGTGCAGGTGGAGCAGCTGAAGCCTAGGTAGGTGAGGGACTTGCCCAATTCTGCACCAAATCCCAGAGCCTCGAAGCTGGGGGCTGGCGAGGGGTTGGCCCAGGATGGATGGCATAGTATCTTGTTTTTTTGTTTCCCGTCTCTTTCTCTCTCTCTCTCTCTATTTTTCACATTTAACTTGTTTACTTGAAAGGCAGAGAGAGTGCTTTTCAGAGAGAAAGATTTTCCATCTGCTGGCTCATTCCTCAAATGGCCCCAAAAGCTGGGTTGGGCCAGGCCTGAGCCAGGAGCCAGGAACCCCATCCAGGTCTCCTGTATGGGTGACAGGGGCCCAAGCACTTGGATCATCATTTGTTCCAGGCACATTACCGGGAGCTGGCTCGGAAGTGGACCTGAACCCACACTCCCTATGGAATGCTGGTGTCCCAGGCAGCAGCCTAGCCCACTGCGCCACGGTACTGGTGCCTGATGGTGTCGTTTCTGAACCGGCCCTTCCTGCTGCACAGGGGCCTAGGGGTGCATCCCCAGTGTGCTTTTTTCTTCTTAAATTCGCACGTTGACTCTGCAACACCGCTGTTACAACTGCTGTGCACCTGTCGACTCAGCTGATGCTCACAGCAGCCTGCTGACAATGGTGCGGTTATTATCTTCATTTACATATGGGGAAACAGAGTCAGGAATAGGAACCTGACAGTCACACAGCTGGAAAGCGACAGAGCTAGACTTGAACCCAGATCCACCTGAAGTCGCAGCGGATGCTATTACCTGCTCTGCCAATTTCTCCTGCTTTTTCACACACAGAGAGAGTTGGGACCACCTGGGCCTTGAGCTTCAGCTGGCCTGGGGTAGAATCCCTGGGGGCTTCGGGTTGGACAGGGCCTGAGCCTGAGCTTGCTCCTGGAAGATGGGCTGTTCTGGGCTCCTGGGGGAAGGGATAGGCTGACCGGACAGGCCCAGCAGGCCCTCTGCTGTTTCCTCCCTGGGACCCCGGTCGCATCCTCTCACTTCTTGTCTCCCAGACACAAAGCCCCCAGATGCACCGCTCTGGGTTTTCTCGGTGCCTGCCTTTCAGTTACCAGAGCCACCTGTTAGCAGAGCCCCGCCCTCCCACCCCTGGGGAAGAGCAGCCTTGCCCATCTTGACTGGTGTGGCAGTTGGAGGGGGTGGGGCCCCAGGGAGATCGGGTTGCCTGGGAGCATTTTGTTGGCTGAAGAGGAAGCCAGGGCTGCAGAGGGGAAGTCGTCTGTGGTCACACAGGGGGCCTGGAAGGCATCTGGAGTCCTCCTCCAGCCTAAAGCAGGCATGGGGCCCTGTGGCCAGAAGGGACGCGTGCACCTGCCCGGGTGTCCTGAGGGGTGCCTGGGGTGGGGGAGGTAGGACTGCAAAGCTGGCCTTGGACAGGGGAGGCCTGGAGTGGGGTTTGAGTGGGCATGGGAGGCAGGCTCATGCTGTGCTTAGCGTTCTGAGGCCCTAGGATGGTGTGGGGGTGGGGAGGTAGCCTCCACAGTTCTGGTAACCAGGAGGGAGCATGGCGAGGAGTTTGAACTTGGGCACTAGCTGGAGTCCACTTCGAGCCTTGGAGCTGTAGGAGCCTGCTGAGAGGTCGTGGGGCACACAGCACTGACCCCCGCCCTGGAGCCACCTAGTGCATTGCCGAGAGCAGCACTAGGAAGTGAAAGGAGCCCTTGCTGCTTAAGCCGGTCATGGCCATGGCTCCCAGGAGCTGTAAGTATTTCTAGACTCTTGGGGAAAACTTAGATCCTCATTCCTCCTTGCTGGCCTCATCCATTCTCCATCGAGTGCGGCCCTGTCTTACCGAGTACCTTTCATCGGTAAAGACGGTCTTTACTTTCTGTCTCGTTAATTTTTGTTTAGTTTTTTTTTTTTT